TTTTCTTATTTATTTTTATTTTATGCTGATTCTCTTTTATAAAAAAAAGGCTTAACCTTAGTTAAATTGTAACTTTAAACACAAAAAATAAACCGGACGTAGTTTCAAAAACATTACTTCAAACTAAAAAATATTTTTAGTTAAATTTTTTTATTTTCTATTTTTTTTTGTTTTTTTGTTTTTTATGCTAATTACCTTTTGTCAAAAAATACCTTGCCTTCAGTAACACTATTTGAAACCAATGTTGTTGTGCGACATTTTTGACGACAACGACTGAGATATCAACCGATCTGGGCGGGGTTGTTGTAGCCGCTACACCAACAACAACAACAACAAGGATTCAAGCTATATACCATGATAAAAATATAGCAAGGTAGAACCGTATATATATTAAACGAAAGAAGATACCGAAAAGCATTGAACAGTGCACACATCTCATAAGGAAAAGTGAATTATTACGAAATACTAATCCAGTGGCAGCACAATAGCTATTTTGGAATCTCGCGTTTCAGCTGGCAAAGATTGTCAACTTCTTTTTAATAACAAAATAATCTATCTTAGGTTGATAAAACTATGTGTTTCTTTAATAAATAAGTTAAATTATATATTTTAATAGTGTTTAAAAAGTGTGAACAGGTGATTTAGTGAATCTTTGTCGGTGTAATTGCCCATCGAAAACAACGAAATTTAACAAAAGTTTTTTGTTCATAACTTTTAAATGGTTAATAATATTATCTCCCCCCCTCCGGATTGTTAATAGGGGGGCCGAAACGCGTCGTTTGATACCCCTCCCGACTTTTCCGCACCTTTTTTAGGGGTTGTTACCGCACCCTAGAGAATTACCCTCGTTTTCAAAGTGTTTTCATTGTCGGTCAGAACATGGTATAAATCTTTTCTACTAATTTTGGTCAAATTTACCAAAGTAGCAACCCCGTATGTGAGTATACCGATCGCCCGCACCAAAAAATGGGTAAACAAAAAGGAATGTAGCAATCGGGCCACAAAACAAATTCGCACAGCGCAACACGCAGCGAAAACGACAAAGTTGAACTTTTGACTTTTTTCCTTTCTTGCCATATTTCGTTTATGGTTATCTCTGCACCTTTTTCATAGCTACGTTGTTTGCTTTTCTGCTTTATACAATATTCTTCCGAAAACATTCACATTGCACAATTCTTTACCCTCATACTTCTTTACTGAACAAGCTAAATGAAATCCACTTTTTTCGAATTTAAACTCAAAACTCTCTACACTTGCGCTTTTCTCGTATCCATCTTTCGCACCTTCTTCTTTTACTATGGTACTCCTCTCATTCCATGATCTTACATATTTCCTTCTATTTTCTTTTCATTCTCTTTTCATTTTCATTCACTTTACGCCTTTACTGATTATCCAGGAAAAATTCCATTTCACTATATCGGTAAAATTTCCGATTAAGCACTTTTCTAATCTTTATCTCTTCCTTACAAACTCATAAGTTTACGTACTTTTTTTTAACACTTCCTTTTCTTTAAAACAAAATTCATCATCCAACAAGTGGCGGCCATATTTGCATTTTTATGTTCACAGATCACAACCGATCCCAATTAGTGTTGTTGTTACTGTATGCTCTATAGCAACTGTTCTACTACACTACACTTCATCGTATAGCGTCCAAACACCGCGCTAATTAACTACGAACGAAACGTTACATCTGACGACCGAATGAATACTGCCGAACGAGATGCAATGTGAAAGAATAAACACCTAATAATTTCGTGTTGGGTTCGCAAGGTTGCATAAATTTATAAACTTTTATTATCGGGTAAACATCCTTTTTCCATTTGTATATATACATATAATAAAGGAAAATAACACATCCAGTTAAAAATGTGTTCTTTTATTTAGTTTTAAAGTTTTGGTTTGACTAAATAACGTAAATTACGCTCAACNGTTCTTTTATTTAGTTTTAAAGTTTTGGTTTGACTAAATAACGTAAATTAAGGTTAATTGTGGCTGCCAAATTACGCTCAATATTCTCTACACACCGTTCGCACTGAACGCAGCCAGTAAATATGCAGCATGCATTTGACGTTTCTACTCGCATTGATATGTCATTTATGTTTTGATATCCTCGCAGGAGAACTACTATTTTAACTATTAAACACCTTCCGATAGATTTTCATATAGGTCTTTTGTTTTAGGCGTGTATAATTCAATTGGAAATGAGTTCAGGCTTTGTAACAGCATCAGAAGCTGCCGAAGCCCGTAAACGGCGACAGGAGGAATGGGAAAAAGTTCGCACACCAGATCAACCATTGGGTGAGTGTATTGTTAAAACAATTGTTTAAAATCAGAAAATAAAAACAATATATTCATTCACAGAACGTCCTGAAGAACCATATGATGGACGATCGCTTTTTGACCGACTAAAAGAGCAAAAGATGAAGAAAGACATGGAATATGAAGAGGCTCATAAGTTAAGTGAGTGATAAATAAGAAAATCCATACAGCGAGACTTCACTTCTTTAAATTTCCATTTTAGAAAATCTTATACGCGGGTTGGATGACGATGAAGTTCAATTTCTAGAGCTGGTCGATCAAAATAAAATCGACGCGGAAAAGAAACAATTGCAAGAGGAGCGAAAGGAACTCCAAGAATTCCGTGATCGTGTGGCTACACTGCAGGAAGAAACTGCCGATAAAGTATAAACCACTTTCGGCAATCATGTAGTTGTGTGTTTTTATTTGTTTTCCTAATATATCTTTTAGAAACTCCAAACCGAAATCAGAACATCCAAAGTGTCGAAAACTTCAACAGTTGCGTCCACAACTCGTCCCACGCAAAAGTCTTTGCTTGGTGTTGGCATTAAACGCAAGAATGGAGAAACGGCGAGCACAACAAGCTCGAAAATAACTAAAAATTATACCGCGGGAAGTGCTGATAAAACATCGTTATTTCCTAGCATTACTACAAACCAATTTGATAAAGGTCAACTGAAATGTATTGCAATACTACCTGGTATTGGACCTTACAATGAGTCTAGTGACTCTGAAATGAGCAGTGGCAGTGAGGATGAACCCGACAATGACAATCATGCCAAGTATGATTTAATGGGGCGTAAAAGGCAGAAGAAGACGAAGTGCCAAAACGACGATTGATTTTTGAATTTTCCAGCTCATGTAGTAGGGAGGTCTGTCTCATCCTGTAATGGCTTCGACATATAATATACATACATATACGTTAATAAACTAAGAAAATATTGAATGGTTTATTTTCATTTGCCAAAAAGTAATCTGACTTCGGCTTCCTTTACCTTCAAACAAAATACATCATATGTGATTGTTGTTGGAAATTTTATTTATAATACGTCCACTTCCCATAGTATACAATCCAGTTGTCAAGAATCTGAAGGTTTCCAAAATTATCAAACACCCTTTTTGGGATTGATAACTTCTGATGTATCTTAATAACTTCCAATACATGCATTTTTATTTTGAAAATTATCATTAAAGAAAACCAAATTTATTTTTTTATTTCACACATCATTCGTCCTTTTTCTTATTGCGATTACGATTTTTCACATTGGTCACTTCATAGAAATTACTGCCTACCTTCTTGCGCTTTTGACTGCGTTCTGCCGCACGTTTCTCCTTAGCCGTCAATCGTTTTTTGGCCGGAGGCAGTCGATTACCTTCATCACCACTTTCGCCACCAACATCCGGCTCTACTCTAAATTTGCCGGAAGCCGTTATTGCGACACTCGCTTTACGTTTAATGTTGGCTTTTTTGTGCACGACACGTTCTAAGTCATCATCGTATTCATCTTCAGAATAAAATTCACTGACACCATCGCTGGACTCCTCTTCATCCTCTGGGTTTTGCTGGCGTTGCTTTTTGCGTTCCAGGCGCTCGGCCTTCTGTTTTTCCAACAATTCTAAATCTATTTTATCTAGCTCACGCACATCCTGTGGTTCAAACTCAATGCCAAGTTTAATTTTTCTGAAGTCTTGCAACTGTTTGAATTCTCTCGCCTTCTTAACTGATTCGCTTACGAAAGTAGGTGCTTCGGATTTAGTGTCATCTCCTTCTTGATTGACTTGATCAACTGTTTCGGGTTCGTTAAGGGATTGGGGTTTATCAGCCTGTGATTTTGGTATCTCAAAGCCTTCGGGTGCTACATAAAACGGCAGCTTACCTCTTTGCCAGTCATTCAAAACCATGCGTGAAGTGACTGTGATATCAGGCTCTCCTCCCTTCAGTAATTTACCGGATTTCTTTGCCAACTGCTCCAAGAAGTTTAATGACGATGTCCATTTATCAACCTTATAAGTTTTTTGTATATACTCTTTTCGTACACGTTGCAAAACTGTCTCTACGTAGTCTTCAGGATTTGTAACCAATTCGACGCGAACAACTCCTTTCAGCACTTTTTCTGTGTCTGTTTCAGCTGATGGATATACCACGCCAGGACAATCGATCAGGAAGATTCGTTTCATTAATGTAATATACTGCCACACTTTTGTTTCTCCAGCGATGGGCGCAACATTACATACTTTTTTGGAACGCAAGGCATTTATGACGGAAGATTTTCCTACGTTTGGATAACCAATGAAACCCACACTAATCTGTTTTTTGTCCATATGCAATTTGCCTAGCTGCCGGAAAAGGTTTATGAGTGCACCTGTGAAATAAATAAAAAGAATCATTTACCATTTCAAATTGGCAACTCTAAACAATAAAATATACTAACCTTTTCCGAATGGATGCTGCATCGAGGCATGGAAGGCAATAGTTGGATACTCAGCACTTAATATAGCAACCCAGCGCTGCGTCACCCACACTGGCACCAAATCCACTTTATTCAAAATGAAGAAAAGGTGTTTATGTGGTTTTTCTTTGCGTAAGAATTGTTCAATGTACTTGGAACGGGTGCCCATAGGATCGCGTGCATCAAGCACCTGGAGTAAAACATCGGAAGAATCAACTACTTTATGTAACTCATTCCAAATACGTCTACTCTGTCCAGCAGCAAATATCCAATCACGCTGAGCAGCTTTTTCGCCTGTTTCTTCACGCACTAAATCTACATCTTTAGTTTCATCATAGTTCTCAGCCTGTAACTCGGCAGTACGACTCAAGTCCTCCAAATCTCGAACTTTCAAATTGACACGCTTCCGTTGTCTTTTTGGACCGAATGTGGTATCGAAACTTTCTGTATCTAGTAAATGTACACGCTTGTATTTGCTTGTCTCGTTGAGTAGCGTGATTGGTAGCTGTGATGGCTTCATTATCACTTGGTACGGATCTTTTACTGCTTTGCCAATTTCATCTTGGAACTTTTGGAGTGCACTTTGCGATATTACCCGTGAATTACTGAACCATTTTTGGGAAGGTTCCACTCTCGCCATCGTACCAGATGGAAGACGACCCTAAAAATAAGGAGTAAGTGAACTCATTTGCAATTCAAACAGAAATGCCATAGGTTTACCTGAAATGGCGCAGGTGTAATTATTTTTCCCTTACGATTACGCTTCGCTTTGAAGTTACGGTACATTTGCAATCGCTTGATAGTGGCCTGCGTACGAGGATTTGCTACGCCTTTGAGGCCAGATTTGGGGCGTTCCGGATTCATAGAGTGATTCGAATGGTTGAAGCCCTGTTTGCGCGGAGGCCCAGACGCACTTCGTACTTTCGGCATTTTGCAGATTGCGTTATATTTTAACGAGGGTAAATATGTCTTAACTTTTAAAATACGCTGCCAATTACGCAGAAAACTATAAACCCAAACACAACGCGGCGTGTGCAAAGATAAAAAGAATTTTTTAGGTTATATGTTGATCGCAGCTGATTTTCATACGTATGATGGTATTTGGAGAGTTTTTTTGTTCCTCCTTCCGCAACACCAACTTAAATAAACCCTACAAGAATTGGGTGATGCAAATTTTCGTATAAAAGCGACAAAAACAATCCTTTATATTTCAATGTGGCAGCACTTAGTGAAGCGAAAAGCGAAGAAAACGACAAAGAGCATAGCGACGAAAACAAAAAATTGCTTTCTGAGCTGACGGTTGCCATTTCCCACTTATTTATCGGATCAAAAAATGGACCAAATGGTAAAAAATTAAACGCGGCTTGGACTTGGCGTTTCGGAATTCGACCGATGATTGGCGTCAACACAGATAGCTGGTTATCCGCCGCTTCGTCCGATCCGGAAGCGACGAGTCCAGGACGTCTTGGCAAAGGGTCGCGTGGTTTACCGTGTCGAAGGCCTTCGACAGGTCCACCGCGACTAGGACCGTCCTATCACAGGGTCGACGTTGGTTCAGACCCCCGCTTATCTGTGTGGTGATGGCGTTTAATGCAGTGGTCGTGCTGTGCATTTTGCGGAATCCGTGTTGGTGTTGGCCTAGTTGCAGATGCTTCGGAGGAGTAGTGCTTCCATTGTATTTGCCACTGGGGATAAGAGGGAGACTGGCCGGTAAGAGTGTCCTGCGTNTTAAGGAGGGGGATGATCCTACCCATTTTCCACATCTCAGGGATGATCAGGGTGGACAGTGACAAATTGAAAGCTGCTGTGATGTACTCGACTCCCACTGGTCCTAGCTTTTTCAGCATCTGCATCGAGATTCCGTCGGGGCCTAACGCCTTGGATGCTTTGGCGTTCTTTACAGCTGCCTGCGTCTCTTCTGGTGTAAAGCACGTTAGTGTGTCTCGGGGGCGGAGTTTGTG